TGCCTGAGGGTTCTAAGCAACATAAGAACAAAATGGTGGTGCCACTTGGCTGCGAGAAGATAGCCGTTAGTCGGGCTTAACTGCCAGTCCAGGCTACTGCAGAGTCAGTGCAGTTCTCGCGGGGCGTCCCCAGCGACAAGCTGACAGAGATTGCTACGTCGGGGGTCCAAGGACAGAACCCGACCCAAGCCGATGCAGAATATTCCCACCCACTTGCTGACTATCGAGAATTGCTGGGCAAATTCTCTCATGGTGTTGCCAAAGAGACCAACCTGGGAAATGGGGGTGTTAAGAAAGCACACTTTCTCAGAACCCACATCTCTGTCAGGGTGAGCCCCAGGTGGTGCTTCTGGGCCACTAATGTGGACATCACCTTGCCCAGAGCCTGAGTCATGAACTCCGTAGCTCGGAGGGCATAGTTCGTCGCCGGATGCAGTTCCTGCATGCTCCAGGTTGGAACCACCCTCATGCAGACCCTGGCCTAAACACCTGCAGGACAGCCATGGCATGCAGAGCGGACACAGCTCTGAATGCACCGCAATCGCTTTCACCATCTGGGGACCCATGTATATTCCTTCGCTGGACCGCCGTCAAGGGTGGTGAGCACAGAGGGACCAGTATATCGTGTTATGGCAGAAAGGTGCCATCCATGATTTTATTGGCTCCTAGTGCACTTCCAGGAAGAAAGGAACTCGGTCTCCAAGAACCATCCAACCGAGAGAGCCCCGGACAGGGTGGACAAGTCCACTCAAGCCTGGCGCTCTCTGCTGCCCGGGTAAGAACGGCTGCCATCTCAGCGTCAGTCTCAGACTCCCAGTTCAGTAGAGTCATCCACTTTCTATCAGTCAGACCCATCCTCCGATGCTGTGATAGACAACTCATCTTTATCGCGAGCTCTGAATGAGAGATCAAACCTGCACTGAGGCGGGTTCTCAAACTCACCCAGAAACTCTACTGAAGAAGAGAAAGAGGAATGAGCGGTCCACGGGAATTCATCCGACAAAACTGCTTCCGCAACATCTCTTTGCTCTCCATCAGTGCATGTCATTGAGGCCCTGTACCTGGAAGTAAAAGGGCGGGAAGCAGCTAAGATGACTCACTGTCTTTCTTTAAAATAAGAACACAAGCCGTGAGCTCAACGTGCCGACAGCCATGTCCTCACAAGAATGACATAAACCATCCACAAACCACAACCAGAAGGGCACAGATGGCATGTTGTGAACACACACAAATCTACCCGTGCAGCTCTTTTAGAGAAATTGCTCTTTTAGGATGAAAATTTGCTCTCAAAGATCACTGTTGAAGCACCCAGGGGTACTCTCACTCTCAGAAACCACTGCTTGTGCCATAGATCCAACAACGAGGAGATGGAGAGGTGACTGAAGTGCTGCTTCTCCAAAAGAGACGTTGCATCGGCTCCGAAGAACAGAACGAGTGAGCAAATGCCAGGCTG